CATAATATTTCTAAAAATAGGAAGATGATGTTAGACCTTATTTTATCTCTTGACTATTACTTAAATACCATCACCTTAAGCAATGTGAGTATAAAAGTAAAATATAACAAGTGATAAAAATGGTATGTGCCTTAATCACATAATATTGCATTGTTTTTATACATGATTAATCTTTCGTATCGACTGCAAGGCTTAACTCTCATAGTCTAGAGTCATTGTATTGAATATCTATAGCTATAGGAATAAATGACAACTATATTAGATTCGATAGTGTTCACTACTCAAATCGTTAACAGTGTATTTATTTAAGATAATATATACCTAACAACCTTATATAAGCTTAGGTACCTAACTATATCTTACTACGTAATTTTGTATCATATCTGCATTGTAATCACCCAAAGTTCTTAAAATTTAACCTCATAACTTGATTGCTTCCAAAATCTTTGGACCTTCACCATTATTTTCCTTCAAATGATGTATTTCTATCGGATACCCCCTGGTGGGTTTCATATACTACCGTTACAAATCAAATGGTGTAGGAGGAATATAATGGTGAATATTTGAAAATCTTTGAAGTAAATAAAGTTAAGGTTGAAGTTTAAGAACCTTAGACGATTGCAATGGAAATATAATGCAAAACAATGTAGTATAATATGGTTAGGTACCTAAGCTTATATAAGGTTGTTAGGTATATTCACTTTACTGATCTATATATATATATATATATATATATATATATATATATATATATATATATATATATATATATAATATATATATATATTAGGGCTGACAATTCTCGACACGACACGCGATACGACCCGCGACACAACACGAAATAAATGGGTTTGGGTTGAGTTTTTCAACCGGCCAACCCACCAATCCGTTTATTAAACAGGTCATATATGGGTTTCTCAAAAAATAAATGGATTAACCTGTCAACCCGTTTATATTCATAATAAAAAAGTTATATTAATTTTAAATGTATTTATGTATCAACTATTAATATTTAATAAAGTTTATATAATATATACCACTGATTCATAGATCATTTGACTTTTTTGATATTTTGACTCGTAGTGGATGCTCTAAGGTAGTAAGTCGTAACCTATAAGGCTAAGTTTGTAGCATGTTTCTATAAATGCTTTTAATTTTCATTTAGATGTTTAATACTTAAATGTCTAAAATTTGGACCCACGAACCCAAATCTGATCCACTAACCCACCAACCTGTGAGCCCGTATAAATAAATGGGTTGGAAGGTCATATATGGGTTTATGTTCCAAACCCACCAACCTGTGACCCGCCAACTCGTAACCTGTATATTTAAATGGGTCGTGTTTGGGTTGACATATTTTGACCCGCCAACCCGCGAACCCGCGACACGCCAACCCGAACACGCCACAATTGCCAAGCCTAATATATATATATATATATATATATATATATATATATATATATATATATATATATAATATATATATATATATAAAGGGAACTTCTCTAACGAGGGTTTTCGGACCAGCTTTTGTGTATCAACTAATCTCCAACTGCAAACACGAGCCTTTGCCTCAAGCTTTGAAGTCAGACGAACCCCCATGATCAATATTATTTAAGATAATATTAATGCCTAGCTGTAGGGCTGTAAACGAACCAAACGAACACGAACAAGGTCTTGTTCATGTTCGTTCGTTTAAGTTAGCCGAACAACAAACGAACATGAATGGATAAACGAACGAGATTTTATTGTTCATGTTCGTTCGTTTAACAAATTACTTTGTTCATGTTCGTTCATTTATGTTCGTGAACATTCTAAACGAACATAAACGAACAAAGATAAAAAAAAAAAACAATTAAACATATATGAACATAAACGAACATATAATATAGCAATATAATAAAAAATAATTAAATATAGATGAACATAAATAAACTTAAACGAATAAACATAAACGAACGTAAATGAACATCGTAAACGAACGTTCACGAACATAAATGAACGAACGAGACTATTGTTCATGTTCGTTCATTTAACTAAACGAACGATAATTTTTGTTCATGTTCGTTCATTTATTAAATAAATAAACATAAACGAACTTCCCGTCGAACAGTTCACGAACGGTTCGCCGAATGTTCAGTTCGTTTACAACCCTACCTAGCTGTATTAAGTCTTATGGGATGTTCAACATAGAGCTTTTGAGAGTAACAAAAACTCGATTTAATTTTTTTTTTTTTTTTTTTTTTTTTGAAAGTTTAAGCTTAAAACTTTAACTTTAAATATCTAAATGCAAAGCTAACTAAGGAGCTTTTATAAGCATTAGTTTTTGATTTTTATGTAATTTACTTAAAAGGTTATAACTATTTTGTCGAACAATTCTACACAAAATCATGTTAGAATTAAAGTTTCAGCCTGTAGCTAGTTTACCAAACACATTTTAATTTTAAAAGTATTTAAATTAAGATAATTATTGATTGCACAACGATCGATCAAAAGTTTGGATTTATTTTTCTACAAGAGCACGAGAGAATTATGCTTTTGTTTTTAGTAACACCACATCAATTAATATGATTAAAGTAGTCTACGATGATTTTGGAAAAACATCTATTGTATATGAACAAGACAAATTTTAAATTTTTCTCCATTTATTATACCATAGCCCCTATATATTGATTTCAACTTGTAGAAGTCAGAATTTATAATTTGTACTGATTAAAGGTTGTAGATATGCATTATTGTGTTGCCTATCTATTATGACATTTTAAATAGAGGGAGGATTTGGCCAAATAAATATTTATGCATAAGTGAGTGTAGGGTACGAAATAAAAATTGTATCATTGTAGAGACCTACATTTATTTGTCTCATTCCCCTTTACAGTATTTAAAAAACCACATTTGACATCATATACAAAATCTGACGTGTATATATATATATATATATATATATATATATATATATATATATATATATATATATATATATATATATATATATATATATATATGTGTGTGTGTGTGTGTGTGTGTGTGTGTATTACAACTTAATTTCTATTCTTAAGACATAACAAATAATATAGTTTTTATTACAACTTATATGCGGTAAAAAATTCCGATTT